GCTCTTTTTAAAAAAATTGACATGAAACCAGAAGAGCCTATTTTATTTTGAGAATGCAATCCCCTAGACTTATCTGGTGTTAAGTCAATGACTGAGTTATTTAGTGTTGGGTTGGGTTTTTTTGTTTGTTTGTTTGAAAGATAATTTGAAATTTTGTATGTACAACAAACAGTGGTTAACATTTGGGAGAATTGGAATCCCAGAGCACTTGATTATGCTCATGTGAAACCTAAACCAGGAAGCAGTTGTCCAAGCAGAGCAAGGAAACTGCCTGGTTCAAAGTCAAGAAAGGAGGGTATCAAGGATGTGTCCTTTCCCCATACCTTTTTAATCTATATGCAGAGCAGATCATCTGGAAGGCTGGATTTTATCAGGAGGAATGTGACATCAGGATTGAAGGAATACTCATCAATAACATGCATTATGCACATAATACTACCTAGCTTGCCAAAACTGAGGAGGATCTGAAGCATTTGCTGCAGAAGGTCAAGGACTCCAGTTTTCAATATGGAATTGCAACTTGTTATCAAGAAAACAAAGATTCTTACCACTGGGCCAACTAGCAACATTATGAATGATAGATGGAGAAGAAACTGAGATTGTTTCATCCTCAGAATTTCATCCTGCTCGGATCCACATCCTTCCAGGATCCACTCCCGGCACCAGCAGTCAGGAAATCAAAAGACAAACTGTATTGGGAGAGTCTGCTTTCAGGAACCTCTTCAGAATGTTGAAGGGGAGCAATGTTAGACTAGAGACTAAGGTGTGTCTGAGCCAGGCCATGATCTTCGCAATTACTTGCTATGCATCAAAGAGCTGGACAATGACTAAAGATGACAGCAGAAGAATTGATGTCTTTGATTTTTGGTGCTGGAAGAGAGTATTGAATATACCATGGACTGGTAAAATAACAGACATGTCTGTCTTGTGGAGGGTGAAACCAGGTTGTTCCATGGATGCAGGGATTTTGAAACTTCATCTCACATACTTTTGACATGCTGCGAGGAGGGACCAATCTTTGAAGAAGGATGTCATGGTTGGAAGGGTGGAGGGTCAACACAAGAAAGAAAGACACTGGATGAAAGACTTGGATTGACCCAGTAACTGTGGTAATAGGAACAAGTGTGTTAAAGACAGTGAGATTGGCTCAAGATAGGGCTGGGTGTAGAGCTAAAGTTCATAGGATTGTTATGAGTTATATTCAATTCAACGGTACATAACAACAACTGTGACAATTTTAAAGTATGTACGTGGTTACACAAAATATGTGTATACACATTCTAAATTTTCATTTATCTTTTTGTTGTGTTGTTGTATGCCATCAAGTTGGAAATGACCCAAAGTTGATCCTCCAGAAGGCTTTCAGAGGTAATTAAGATTTCTCATCCATCCTTCTCAGAACAGCTGTTGGTTTGGACCATGTGCCATCAGGATTGAAGCACAGCCTCTTACCACTAGGCCACTAAAGCTTATTTTAGCTTAAAACATGTAAATGCACATTATTTATGTGTTCAGGCTAATTCACAAAACATAGTAAAAACTTCTTAAATAGCATGAATATGATAATGAGCATCACCTAATACATTGTTCCAACATTTGCCATTAGCCTTCTAAACTAGATCAATATAATGTTCATATCTTTGGTAATTTCCAAGTTCGGTTATTCTTTGATCACAGATAAAGTGTGTCAGACACTTTAGTGACAAAAGTTATTCACTCACTACCTACTTAAACAACATTGGTTAGAAATTAATCTAATATTTCCTATGTAAATGAAACTATATAAGAAGTTCTTTTGCTTTCATATGCTGCATTTATTTTCTCAATTGAAAATAGTCTTCTAGTCCTGAAGAGAGGGTAAAACAGAGTATGGTTTATGGTTTTCAGTGAAAAACACCTCATCTTAATATTGCCATCAGTCTATACAGACGCTGATTTATGGAACAGACTTAAAAATTACCGCTTAGTTTTAGTATTTGCTCTTACCTACAGTATTCAAAATCCTCATTCTAGTCAATCATTATCAATCTCTTGACATTCATTCTACTTAAGTTACAGTCAGCCAGTCAACAAATATTGATGGCTCTGACAAACTTGTAAAATATACATAACAATAATAATAAATTTCTTTCTAGAGTTATATATTCTAGAAATAGAATATTAAAAAGAATAAAGTTTCATCTCACATTGGCATGCTGCTAGAAAAAGCTATTCACTGGAGAGAGACATGATGCTTGAAAAGATGGAGGGGATGGTGAAATAAAGGAAGAACTTTAACCAGGTGTATTTTGATACATTGACAACAGCAATGGGCACAAGTGTGTCAGAGATTGTGAGGAAGGCACAGGACAGGAGAGGGATTAGATCTGTTGTTTACTCATAAGGTTGTTCCTAACTCGATTTGTTGACACCTAATAAGAGCCTACATAAAAGCAGAAGCAAAGAATATAGGAAATGCTACTTGAAATTGCTGGTAAAGGTCTTCCCCATCCCTTTCACAATAAAAGAATCAAAAGAATGTTTTCAAGATTTGTTTAAGACAAATGATTCACCTAGGAAACACAAGAAACAGTACTATGATTATGTTTGACTCTCAAAGAATTTTTAAATTATTTGTTGTTAAATGGAATTGCAAGCTAGTAAAATGCCTTCTGTAGTTTCCTGGGTATTTGTGGGTTTTTTTTTTTTTTGCAGTTATGCTTATAATGAAATGAACTTCTATAATTTAACCATGTGTAGGACTAGAAAGTTTAGATATTTAAAAGTTATCATTAATATATATCTTAAACTGGTATTATTCTTAGATAACATTTGTAAAACTCAATTTTTTAAAGACTTATTTCCTACCTTTCTTTTAAGAAGCAAAAAAAGAAAACCCACATAAAAAACAAAAAATAATTCAAACAGTCATAATATATCAACTTTGAACTGGTTAAACACAGCTGACAAAACTGAGGAAGTATCCTCATTATTACCAGATAGAAATATACATAATTTTAGTAATTATTCCTTCACTATTAAGTTTTTATGCAAAACAGACATCACCATCTGCACTATATTTGTTTTCTCTTTTACTATATGTATCTGTACATTTGTTTCACTTTAAGGGATGAAAATTACAGTGAACCCAGCTCAAAGCGTGTATGCAAATGTTCTTTCAAAACCCTAATTCAGAAATTCAAATTTATCAATAGTGGAGAAATACATGATATAAAGGAATTGATAAGGAAGCTGTTACCACTATGAAACCATTGATTTCAGAGATATTTTTAAAACTAGATGGTGGAAGGAAAATACACATTGAGAAGGCAAGAAAGTATAGCTCAATCTTTACCATCCATTTAATTCCCTCCAGGTTATAAAAAGAAGAAGAAATATTTGACTGAGGTATGAATGAGAACTGGGTATTATTTAGTTCTAATTCTCAAGTTTGAATGTTTTCACTAGGTCTCAGTTTAGAGCTATCTGACTTAATCTGACTGTGAAGTACTTGTGTCCAGAACTGGAAAGTTAAGTCTTTTACTCAGAAACAGGCACGAAGACTCAAGTCTCAATAAAAGAAACCAGGAATGCTAAGAATGCTTAACACAACTCAAAATCTCATCAAGTAATATTTTTGGTGCTTCAACTATATGTCATGAAGAGTTTTTCACACTAAAATAAGTATTCTGAAAGTATAGACATATCTATACCACAAAATAATAATTTATACTAAAATAGAAATTAACTATAGAATGTATCCTGAAAATGCAAACTATGTTTTCACTTGGATATGTTCAGAAAGTAAACTAAACATCTATTTGAGCAGAAAGGAAACAAAAACATTCAGAAAAAAAATAAAGGAAACTACACAAACTATACATAACAATAGTCTAAAAATCTTGCTACTTTGAGTCTTCCTGTACTCAGTCTTCTACTCCCATATCTTAAAGACAACATTCATGACTAAATGACACTTTAAATATAACTCAGGAGAAATAAAAATCAAAGCACAAGGCCTCAATTGTCCAGATTACTTGTCTCTTATTTTTTTATATGATTTCATCAAGTTTTCATGGAGCTATGACCTCCGTACATAGCATTTCTTTACACATTTTCAGTCACCTCACTTCCCTTTTTTTCAGATTTTCATCTAACACTCCAAATTCATTTTCATTGCATTCAAAATACATGGTCATACTTATCTATTGTAATGAAAAGAGCTTAAGTAGTTTTCTGAAGTTTTTAATTTTAACCTTAGCTTCCAAATCACATGGCAGTCTGTCATTTCTAGTTGCTGGTAATAATAATTTCTAAACATACTAAAAGAAATGAAACAACTGCATGAGAACTGTGAAAACAAATCATAAAGCAGTCCGATCACACTCAAACACTTTTGATCCCTAAGTGTTCCAAATTATGAACAAAGTCCCTTGGTTCTCCCTCTCTCCGCTCTCCCTGCCTTGTTTCAAGGTAAGTAACTAGTCATTTCTTCACCAAACTACATATTTAAATATTTAATATTTTAATATCTCCTTTTACATATGCCTTCACCAGTTAACATGTGGTAATTCCATACTTAGGAAAAAAAGCTCTAATGTGCTTTGTTTATAAATTAAAAGTCTACGTGACTTTCCATGAAGTCTTACTTCAGTCCTTTCCATTATTACATATTTTTTCATATTTGTTGCACATTTTAGAGGCAAAAATCATATTCAGTATAGTAATGTCCCTCCTCTCAAAATTACATTATTACACTGCAAGCTGGTAACACTATAGTTAGGATTGTTTAGCAACACATTTCATTCCATATAGAGTTTACAGGAAAAGAATCACGTGTCACAAATGGTTCAATTTTAAGCCTGAGATAAGGGCTGAGGTAAGTTCTGTGTAGGAGTAAACACCACTTAAAAGACTGAGCAACGTTTCTCATTCAGACTAACAACTTTTTGAAAGAAGACAACACTTGAAAATGGATAAAGTGGAGAAAGCAGAAACCAGTCAAAATGTTTGAGTCTTACCAGAAATGGACTCCAGCAAATGCAGGAGACACACATGATGGCCAAGAGCTGGATGACCATTTCGAAATGGTGAGACCTGCCTTGTCTGTGTTGCTGACTTTTATATTTCACTTTTAGGAGAGTAATTCCCGTGATGGCATTGCACAAGAATGAAACACCAAGGGCTAAGAGACCCAAAAAAGAAAAAAGCAGAAGATAAAATCTATCTTCCCAGTCTTTGATGTGTTCTGTTTTGTAGAAACACCAGGTCCTCGATGCTTGAATTTTATAGTCTCGGAGCCCAAGGATGGGGAGCAAAGCTATAAAGATAGCAAACAAACATACTCCAGCCAACATCATTTTCACATGTTTTGATGTAATTTTTGTTGAATGAAATATTGGTTTAGTGACTCCAATGCATCGCTCAATGGCCATCACACTGCCCAGAAGAAGTGGGCACAGACCAGAGAATACCATGCAGATACCAAAAATACTGCAAAGGACATTTGATTGGTCAAAGCGGATCCAGTCTTTGTTAGAAGCATAGACAAATACTGCTATAGTTCCATTAATTAGATGGCCAAAGAAATCCGTGATCACCAAGCCACTAGCCAAAAGCAGAAAAGATGCCTTGGATTTCTGTCTAAATCGTTGATATGCCTTCATGAGAATGGCAATGGCCAGGCTGTTTGATAAAATCCCTACTGTCATGAAGATTACTGAAAAAAACACTGAAAGTCGGTTTTCTGTCTGGCAGGTTGTATTTGAAATGAACCCCACTTCAGGAGACACTGGTTGTTTAGAATTGTTCATGGACATTGTTGTGAAGATAAAATCCAGCCACTCAAGTCATCTCCCTCTCAAATCAGTACAAGCTTGCAGTCCAGACATCTGTAACATAAAAAGATACAATGAACACAGCATTATTGCTCATCTGACATTTAAGACGCTAGCATAAGAACACCCTGTGATGGATATCCGATTCATCTAGCCTATCATAAGCAAGGTTGCATCATACTGAAAGCAGCACACATCGACCTGCAGTTCCACATTTCATTGTCAGAATAAAGAAGTTGCCAAAATTGAAGCCTCCTTGGTTAAATTCCCGGGATTCACCTGCCATACTTAATGCTCAAAATTTTTCTGCCAATATGTCTGTCCCTGACAGTTTAAAATTTAAGATTGGCAAAATCACAAACAAAATTAGATTTAAACCCAACAATGTTTCAAACTCTTCATAACTCACTGAAGTGGCTAGTTGAGCTTGTCGGTTTTGCTCTTTTCCCAATGGGCCTTATCACAAAAGTACAGATTATTTCTGAGGTGAACTAAACACAGTCTGTCTATTGAACAGACATAACAAGCTTCTCCAGACTCTGAAGGAAGGAAGAAGACAGAAGAATAGAAAGAAAAGAGAGAGAACATCCCTGATGTTATTATATGGGGCTCTTCTGAATATCTTTCTAAAGGCTGAGTCTAACAGCAGCAGACCATGCGACTGGTCCTCCCACTCAAGGCAGTTTTCTGGTTCAGCTACCACCAGTGCAGAGATGCCTTGGAAAGGGGCTGAACTGCACTCCCTCTGTCCACACCTGTCTCTCTCCACAGCTGTCTAGGTGCAGTCAAACTTAAGAGTAGCAAAATCCAATCTGAAGCATTCATTTCTCTCTCCTTCCCTCCTGAAGAAAGACCTGAGTCACAGACACTGGATACCCATGACCACAAAGACTCCGCCTGTGCTAATTTGATTGAATTTCCGAGCAGCTTTCCGAGAGGCTGGGAATTCCGGAGCCAGCCTTTCCTCGGGGCTGCCCGAGAGGAGCCCGAGGTGCGCTGAGGGCGGGCGCCTGGTCCACGTCTTACTCACAGATCCACTTTCGCCCATTATCCTCCCGTCCCTCTCCCCTGCCACCCCACTTGATGCCTCTGTTTGCAACGTCCTCCCCTAAGTCCCTAACTTGCTGAAACTTTCAGTGGTTGTTCCAGCACCAGAGGGCTGTTTTCCCTCTCTCTCTGGGGGGCGCCAAAGGCCTGCACTGGCCCCAGTACAGGACTGAAGTGTTGCCCATTGGGGAATCACAGGGCAGAAGGAGAGCTGTCCTATTGCCCACTCCCCTCCCCTTTCCACCTAGCGTCCGAAGACTATGTGAGTGGTTAAATCATGGAGCTGAACATCCAAACGCTGCCTGCGATTGGCAATCTAGATGCTGGAGGAACGGTTACCTTGGTGTCTCTGGCAGTCAGCGGAGCCTTGGGCTGAATCACAGAACACGCGCCCCAATGCGCCATACCGCGCGACACTTCACGCCTTTCTAGGCCACTGCTGCTTGTTCTGGGCTCAGGTCCACGCTTTGGGTTCCCACCTCTGTGCCGGCGTGCGCCCTCTCTGCGCGCACTCTCCGCACTGAAATTGCTAGGCGCGCTGCCCCCCTCAGCTCCCACAGCACCTAGAGGCGCTCACAGCCTAGGATGGATGGCGGACGGGTGACCTACCCCACTCCCTCTTCTCTCTCCTCTCCGCCCCTTTTCCCAGAGCCCCAAGCCTGATTGGAAAAACTAGAGCACGACATGACATTTGGATGCTACATCCACCCCATCACATTTAGAGCTGTCCAGTCAGCAGTCGGACCAGCTCTGAAAAAGTTTTGTTTAAAAGTCATTTTCAAGATAAAGGGGCCATCTCATCTTCTATGCTGCAAGATGGGCATTTGGGGAACTAAAGAAAGTTTTTAAAAAATCCGTTGGCAGCCTGGTGCACTGTCAGATTTACATAATGAACTCTTTACAAGTCTAGCTAGAAAAGAAGCAAGAAACCAGGTAGTTGAAAATAGCTGTTCAAGGTAACGTTTGTAAATGGAGAAACAGCCTGAAGGTCCTTACCTTCAAAAGGTTGGTTTCCAGATTTCCAAGGAAGGTAAGAAAGGAGAAGAGGTGAATGCATTCTTGAAGAACCATGTAGCTAAGAGATTAGTAATAGTTTATTGATTCTAAAAGTCCAATGAGGAAAGAACGCAAAGGGTCACTGTAAACCTGAATTGACTGAATGAGCAGTGGGCTTGGTTGACTTTGGATGCCCAAAGTAATGTACATTTAACAAGTTTTGTGGAAAACATTCTCTCATTGGTTGTTAGTTACCGTCATACATAATATACAAATACTCATGAGGAACTACGATTTATTTGAGTAGTTGTTACTCTGCTATGGTTGCTTTTTCTAATATCACTTTGATTCACCCTTATTAACTATTTCTCAACTTTTCCAATCAAGAAGTTAATCAGAAACTTAAGCTGGGTCTCTACTGACCTTTGTTCTTTTTATTTTAATAAAAAGTTCCCAGATTTAAGTAGAAAACCAGTAACACACAGAAATAAACTCATTTTTTTTCCCTCTCTGAAACCAGCCTCTAAATTCCTGGAAATTGAAAAGGATCATAAAATGCTAGAGTGAGATAAAATAAATTAGCCATTAACTATAGAAAGAACGATTGCCTAGAATTCCCCTGTGGTCAGTACTGAAATTTCAAAAAGTATATAATCTTAAATTGTGGAAGAAATACAGACCATCTCCTCCCATGCAAAGGAAACCTGCTGAAGGCTTAGCTATGCGTTGGGTCTGACTTGAAGACAATGAGTTACTGTTCTTCTAACTTGTAAATAAACTTACTTGTGTACAGTCAGCACTTTGATTAGTCAAATAGTCATGTTAGCAGAGCAGCATTATATCTGAATGGCTGATATCCAAAGAACAAGAATGTGATAAACCAAACTGAAAAAATGTGACACAGCCCATTACCATGAAGCCAATACCAACACCGCCCCCCCAACCGCCATGTTTGTCACAGTACATACAGCAGGGCTCCTTCCATAAGATTTTCAATGTCTATAATCCTTACAGAAGCAGGCCTCAAGGTCTTTATACCAAGGCACTGACTGATAAGTAGGTTCAGACAGCCACCTTTTAGAATAATAGTTGGACACAAACTGTTGCAGCACAAATAACACTGTTTAATTCTTTCTTTAATGATTTACAGGTGTTAATTATGCTGCATTGCAATTATGTGTTTACACATATCTCTCACATTAAATTGAGTTCCTGCAGAGGTCTGGTTCATAATTCCAGTTCCAGCCTCACCAAGTTCAATGACTATTGAGGTAGCTCTGGCATGCCATTAAGTCAGAGCCAATTCATGGCTGACTTCAGCAGGTTTTTAGAAATAGTAAATCACTCAGAAGGAGATTGTCCATCCTTTTCCCTTGAAACAGCCAGTGGATTTGTATTGCCTTTGAAAGTTCAGAAGTTTCTTCCCACTAGGTCACCAGAACTCTAAAGTCACCATTCCAGACACTTGTTCAGACTCTTGAAAATTCAAAGAAATCTCACGAATATCAATTGTTAGTCTGATTGCTATTAGGGCTAGGAGAAATCCCTCATTAATTAAATGTTGTCATATAGTACCTTTAAAGCAATAACATTTTAATAACTACTAAGATGTGCACGGATATCCAAAGAGGAAAAGGAAAAGTGTGGTGGTGGGGAGAATCAATGGGTCACAGAATTTGGTGGGCAGACGAAATGGGTGAAGAAATAAGGACAGAATCAATGGGGATCTAAAAAGACAGGGTAATAACAGGCATAGATCAATGAATGCTATTGTGTTGTTGTATACCATAGAGTTATAATCAACCCACAGCTGCCCCTCTGGCAAGTTTTCAGAGGCAGTTTAATTGCACAGGAGGAGATTACCCATCTTTCTACTGCAGAACAGCTGGTGGACTTGAACCCTTAGTGCTGATAAAACTTTCTGAATAGTATAATTTGTCTTGTTATTTCTTAGTGAATTTAATAATAAAATTATTCATATGTCCACTCATTCAGTAAGTTTGTGTTAAGAATTTTTTTCTGGAACCCTGAAACACAGCTATATGAATATATATATATATTCACAATTCCATAATGATGGTTTAGTCTGTGGCTGGCCTGGAGGCTCCTGTGCAGTGTTTCTTCTCTAGAAGTTCGTTTCTCACGTCTTGATGAGGATCACGTAAGGAAAGTTTTAGTTTGTGTTTGGTTTGTGTTAGTGTGTTTTTCTCTCCACATGCAGGTGTCAGCTGACTGGACTTTTAGGATGAACGTTCTTAAAATGGTACAGCAGTCATCTGTTTATCTGCTGTATTGAATAACTTGGAGTTGCTGTGGTGTTTAACGCTGTGCCACAGGTGTTCAAATACCATAATAGTTACTTATCATGGACAGTGCTTGGAGGAGCTTCCACATTGATTCAGGGCTAGAAGCAGAAGCAGCATCCAATTCCTGAACCAGATGCCTTTGGAAACTCTATAAACTCTACAAACATAAAGAAATTATGTTAATTATAGAACAGAGTTCAGATGTTTTGTTCATAGGGTTGCTATGAGTCATATTTGACTTGACCATACTTAACCACTGCTAAATGAGACTCATGTTGTTATATTTTGGAGGAACATTCTTTTACTTTGTACATCACTCTTTGTCAATTTGCTGTACTGAGGTAACCTGGGTTTGCTGTGCCATTGAGGTGTCAAATGTAATAATGATGTCCTAGTGTGGACAAGCTCCCAGTTGTTAAACAGGTTTGGAGGCAAGAGTGGCATCCACTTCCTAAACCATATGCCTGTGGAATATGAAGTTGGAGAAATGACGATAGTTATAGAAAATCATTAGATTTTCCCCTCACAGAGTCACTATGAATCGTGTTCCAACTATATGGCAATCAACAACAACAACAATAGTAAAATTATCCATATGTCCACTCATTCAATAAGATTATTTGTGTTAAGAAT